ATTGAGAACTGTTTTGCATAGCAACAGCCTTGCAGCTAACCTCTGGTGTGGTCAGTTAACATATCTATAGCCTTTGGCTGGTTACATGGATATGTTAAATAGCTGGGGCCATGCTCTGAGCCAGGGGGATGAAAGTAACTGCCCCCCCAAGACGTAATTGGGGGCAGATCCCCCAAGCTACAGCGCCTGCGTGGGAGCTTGGAGACGATTGGCTCCAGGACATGGGGCCACGCCTGCCCAGGCCCACGATGGCAGCCCAGTGAAGCTGGGAGGATACGAGAGTGCTGGCAGGTGTGGTCAATTGTGGGAGGAGTCGGAAATGGGGCTGCAGAGGAAGATGGGCGCGGGGATTTAAACCCAGACGCGGCAGCCATTGGAGGGAGAACTACTTGGTCTTTAGCAGAGTGGGGACTCCCGTAGCCCTGCGAGAGAGAATCACCATGTGGCTTTAGCAGAAAACCACCACCAGGCTTTAGCAGAGATCCCAGCGACACAGCTGATGTTGCTGGGAACCGAGGGAGGCTACCAGCCGAGATGGAGTACTGGGAAGAACCGGGGGCTGCCTGAGCCATGGACGTCTATTTCCTTTCCTGACATACGGTCCCCCAGACTGGGCAAAGGGGGGAGAAGGAAGGACTGTGTGTGTTTGTGGGTGTTTTAAGGAACTTTGGGATTTTGATGAAAACATTCGTTCATTCCTTTAAGTCTGTACAGCATTAAATAAACATTTCCTTTCCTTTTCACGAATCTCTGGCATTGAGAGACGTCTTTCCTATAGGCAGTGGACATAACAGACCTGGGGGTTCCTTTCGGGTTACAGTATATTGGCCCCTCTTGGTCCTCCCTGTTGTTCTGTAACAGGAGCAACTTGTTACCAATTCCAGAATTCCTAAATGAGTTCTTTTTTTGAACATGGGGTTTTATTTATTCAGTTAGTTTTGAGCAACTTTTCTAAAAAAATTGTAGTTCAATTACAATTTAGTGCCACTGTTTCAGGAAAATGATGTCTCAGGAGCCATAAACCAAAGGACCCTTTCAAAAACCCACACCCTGAACTTTTACATCTGATAGGTTTTCATTCCAAGCTCTTGACACTGGAAAAAGAATGAAGTTATAGAAATACAAAGAAAACAAGAGGCATTCTAAATGAACCTCTAATTTTACTCAAGTATATTTAGATTAACCCCAACAAAAAATATGTTGGTGAGACAAGATGGGGAAATTAACATTAAAAATCAGCAAGTTAGTCCTGGCTGGCATAGCTCAGTGGATTGAGCGTAGGCTGCGAACCAAAGTGTCGCAGGTTTGATTCCCAGTCAGGGTACATGCCTGGGTTGCAGGCCATGGCCCCCAGCAACCGCACATAGATGTTTCTCTCTCTCTTTCTCCCTCCCTTCCCTCTCTAAGAAATAAATAAATAAAATCTTAAAAAAATCAGCAAGTTAAAGTTCTTCTCTCCCTTAAGCTACTTACATATCAATTTAATTTTTTAAGGGTTAGGGATGATATTACACCTTTGCAACTAAAGTCAGCATTCCCCAACTTTACACCAAGAGACAGACATGCCTGAGCCGACAAAAGGGACAGGAGGAAGAGTCTCTCCGAAATTATCATGAAATTACCTCCCCTCTGCTACTGAATTTCTACATTGGACATCAACTTTCATGTCTTTGTTTTTGGCTCTTGACACCTTCTAGTCCAAAAGTAACATTTTAATATATGATTTTTGCTATGTGAATCCCCAACTCATCTTTTCGAATATTTCCAGTCACTCAGTAAAGGGGCCGCACAACAGAAATGGCTGAATTTCATCTGACCGTATCAAGAACTCGTTTGACAGTAGCTAGAGGCAAAGTGCTCAAGTGTTGCAGAAATTGTCAAATGTCCTTAGTCTCCATTGACACAAGATTCACACTCCACTTTTCAAATGCTATTCTGTTTCCTTCTACTGTACGGATCCTTCCTCCTTTTGAAAAAGAACTTTCTCCCTATGTCTTTACATCTGTCTTTGAAAGTACACCGTGAACCACTGTCAGTCACTCACACGAATGAGAGCAGAAAACACTGCACTTAGATTACTCTTTTAGTCACGGTTTATGTAGCAGAACATGTGCTTTGGAGTCACGCAAACTAAGTACGTGACCTCGGGCAACTTCTATAAACTGAAAGTAAATAATCTATGTCACACAATTTGCACGGTACCCGGAACATAGTACACTCTCAATAAGCAGTAATTTATTATTATGTATACATTATATGCAACAAATAAATGACAATCATTTTACCAATAAGATGATTTGTAAATATGTGTGTGACTTTAATTCTCTTAGTACCAACTTTTTAGAAATTCTAAAGGTAGCAAAGGATCTTCATATTATTTTCAGAGTAGCCAATAATAGATTCAGAAATTACTGCCCGAAGGTTGAATCTCATTTGAATCAAACATTTAAAATTAAGTCACTTCTGTTATAGTTAGCAATAAAATAAATCATCAGAAGCACTGACTTCTTTTCTAAAAAGTTTCCACACCAAATGCACCTCACCATTTTCTTTTTCAAATGGGCTATTCCCACTTTTTTTTCCTTTGGTAGGAATTTGCTCGTTTTGTTTTAGACCAGAAAATATACTATATTGAAATTTTAAGTAATATTGAAGACTTGTGAGAGTATGTTATACAGTAGAAGAACTCATTGAAAAGTTTAGAAATAGAGTATCATTTTCTCTGAGAGATTTCTTTTTACCTCCAACATATTTTCAACATACTGCATAACTTGAATACTCATTGATCTGCTTTCGGCAGCTTTATATACTGAGTAAAATATTTTTGTTTACATTTTGCCTAATAAAATTCCTGTTCGTATTCATTCACCTTTCTTATCTATTTATACATGATTATTTAATTTGTGTGGTTACATTAATATATATCTACATTTGGAACTGCCATTCAAAGAGAATACTGTTACGAACACTTCTCTATGTTTTATTTTAAAATTATTATCCCAGCACTGGCTGGCGTAGCTCAGTGGATGGAGCGCGGGTTGCGAACCAACATGTCGCAGGTTCGATTCCCAGCCAGGGCACATGCCTGGGTTGCAGGCCATGGGCCCCAGCAACCACGCATTGATGTCTCTCTCTCTCTCTCTCTATCTCCCTCCCTTCCGTCTCTAAAAATAAATAAATAAAATCTTAAAAAAAGTTATTATCCCTAAGTCAAATGCATTTGAGAATATGAGACATAGAAAACAGTACAACATTTAGCACACTATGTTGAAAATATGTTGGAGGGAAAAGACAATGTGATATTGGAAAGTGATGTAATGACCCGCACATGTTTCTCAGAGACACGCCCAAAACCTTGCAATAGCTTCCCACTGGTGAGGGAGCTCAGGTGTGTATGAAGGCCCTCAAATAACCAGAAATAATTGTTCGAGGAAAATAAATCTCTTAACTAGTATAATTTGTTTCTGCATCTGCAGAAGTATAAGTCTCCCAATAAAGAGGACTCTCAAAGTCTATCAAACACATGGCCCGTGGCGTAGTCTGGCAGAACTGATTAAATAAAGGAACTATGTGGTTGTGCCATAACTTAAAAAGTACTTAAAATTATTACGATCTTAGATTAGATCAAAGAAATAAATGTAAAGCCTGGAAACAAGATGTAATGATCACTCCTAACGAAGAAGTGCATAATTTGTTCCTAATTTATCACAAGTGTGTGTGTGTATATGCATGTATATATTTTTTTCTAAAAATATTAGAAATAATCTTCTGAGTGAATATCTCTGTGCTATATTTTTGGGGAGAATGTGAAAGGTACTTTTCTGTGGTCTAGTAATCAAATAAACATAAGATATATTAGCAAGAGAAACTAAACTAATTTAGTTACATAAATACATATAGGAACCCCATATCCACGAGAGGTTGAAAGGGATGAAGTAATTGCCAGGAGACCACATGTTCAGAAATTATTAGTTTTCCCTGCCCTATAGGTCGAAAAAGTTATTTCTGGTGACAACTCTTATCCTGGGCTGGGCCCCTAATTTAAATTCTACATAGTTATGGTTGGGCAAAAGCTTCTCATAGCCCACAGTGTCTTGATTGCAGATTATTTTGGAGTAAAAGTCTTGAGTTAAACCAACAGGACAGGCTTCACCAAGAGGAGGAATGTGTTCAAACACAGAATTTAAGAAATAAGTTTGGCCTTTTTTCTGGAATCTGTTACCACAACCTAGAAATATTTGACATTTATTGAGCATTTGCTATGTTCCAGATAATGTAATAAGGGCTTCATTTATATTATTTATCTATGTAACCTTGGAAACAATCCTATGCAGTAGGTGGCATTAGTAACCACATTGTACAGATGAAGCATCACAAAGTTTAAATATTTTGGCACACTAAAATATTTAAAATATTTAAAAATATTTACAAATATTAAAACTATTAAAAATATTAAAAATATTTAGTTGTGCCTACTGTAGGGAGTTGACCCAGGGTAAGAAACCCGGATGTTAGTTTGCACCCACGTGAGCAGGACCAAGCAATCCGTTACAGCCGTTGGAAGAGACCAAAGTAGGAAGCCGTGGGGGGGCGACCTGGGGGCACTGTCAACTGAGCCTGGTCCCACCACCATCTTCTGGGAAGCATAGTGCCCCTGGGGCCCATGTGACCCAGGCAGTCCTGCTGGTAGCCCAGCTAGGATTAACTAGGGTCTCACCCTTGAGCAATCAAAGAGGCCATCCACAGGCCTCCCCCGTCCTTAGAATGGGAGTGAGCAGGATCCTCATCTCACGCAGCCGAAGCCAGTGCGCAGGCGCAGATCCACCTGTGAGCCACCCTCATGACATCACAAGACCTATGGGGGGCACTGTCCCGTCAGCAGCTGGTTGCCCCCCAACTGAGACTCTAGAATTCTGAGGACGGTTTATATTGGGCGTCTCGCCGTCGTGCTCAGTTGTAAGACCCTGTGTGGCCAAGGCGGTTTGTTTTAGAGCACAGCCATGGCTAGTTCAGATTCCGATGAGAAGGACGAAGCCACGCCAGCCACATCAGACAGAAGAGCACCACCAATAACGGTCCGAGCCGACACATCCCCAGATTGCTCTGAGGATCCGAGGCGGGCTACGGAGATGGAGGTGGACCAAGCCCCGAGCCAGGATCCCAACTCTCAAGACAACCCGAAATCGAAGAATTCAAAGGAAGGGATCAGCGAGGTTGAAGGAAGCAACAGTCTTTTCCGACTGCCCTTCCCCAAGAAACTTTGGGGGATAGTGGAGGACGACGCCTTCCCTTCCGTGCGCTGGAGTCCCAAGGGAGACACCGTGGTCATCGAGGTCGACCTCTTCCAGAGGCAAGTTCTCAGCCTCAGGGGCGCGGAGAAGATCTTTGAATCCGACAGCCTGAAGACTTTCATCCGTCTGATGAATCTCTACGGGTTCTGCAAAATTCGCTCAGGCACCTCAATTTGCCGTCCGGGACCCAGAAGACGGATGATCTACCGCAACCCTAACTTTCAAAGAAACAAGCCTTCGCTCCTGAAGAACATCAAGAAAAGATACAAGTGGATGACCACCGCTGCTTCTCCAGGGAGCGGCGCGCCACCTCCCAAGACCAGGAAGAGGCAGGTATCCCCTTCGAGACTCTCACTTGTTAACATTAGGGAAGGCACCAAAGACAGTAGTGGCGAAACCCAGAAGCAGGCCCCAAGTGCGCAGGGACCCGGTGGCCCCCAGCCATTCCAGTTCGCGGGTCTGAGGTCCACAGGCAGTGTTATGAGTCCCCACTGCCCAAATGACCCAGGTGGCCCCAGTGGGGAGTGCCTATCCAGGACTGTCCCGTTTGCCCCCAGGTTTCCCGCCCGAACTGATGGCACAGGGGACCTGGCCACCAGCTGCCTACATTTCCCACTGGATCGCGCGGTCATGTGTTTGTACAACGCCTGCTACTCCATCCTGACAGCTGTCTTTTCCATCCTAGGCGATCGTTGTGAGCCGGACGCGGAGGGCCTCTTGGATCGCCTGTCCATCTTCTGCGAGCACATTCCCGATGATCCAGGACCCGGAGCGCCCACATGACAGGCAGCAGTCACTACCTTGTCACCATTAACCCATGGTAGTCAATAAACAATCCAATTGAAACAACAAAGTTTAAGACTTTTGCTTACATTGATTCCAAACTTTTAACCCACTTGTGTGTAGCCTGTAGGAGGTTAAACCTTGGTTAAGATGATACAGATTTTAAAATGTTGTGAGAGCAATTGCTATTCACCATTGCCAGCTTTTCCAGAGGGCAGGCTTTGTAATTTCTCAGTTTGCTTATTTTGATGGGAATTATGGTGGGCCATTAGAAAAACTTCCTTTTCTGGTTTGGGATAAACATTTTAATAGCTTCTCACTTATGTTAATGCAAAGCCAAAATTTTTCCCTAGAATGAGGAACTTAAACATTTAAGTGATTACTTCCTTAACTTTCTCCTTCCAGGGAAGAGCTTATCTACTGAGTATACTCATAGAAATATAAAACCTAGTAAATATTTTTAAATATATAGTAAATATATGAAATATTATACTAAATATAATATTTAAATACTTTATTTACTATAATATTAATATATTTATCCTAGTAATAGAAATATAAAACATAGTATACTATTAAATATGGTATATACATTTACTCTATATTTATATTAGTCATATAAATATAAAATATAGTCAACATTTTTGGAAATACATAGCAAATATAGTAAATATCATAGTAAATAAAAATATAGCTAAGATAAAGTTAAGTAAAACAAATGCATAGTACATATAAAAATCTCTAGTGTGGTGTGAGTTGCCACTTCACAAACCGAGCAGTGATGGGTTGTTCACTGAAGCTGGAGAAGGAGATTGAGGATGGACAGTCCGGGGAGACAGCACGGGGCGAAGGCAATTCCACCGGGAGAGTTATCATAGAATGTTTTGAAAACATGGGAAAGCAAAGACTGAAATAGCCAGCTAAGAAACTCCTGTGATAAGCATTAGCCAATCAACAGGTAAAATGTAATACCAGTTTTTGGTTATTTTTCTCTGTGAGGGAGTAACCAACATTTCTCTGCTCTCAAGATTCTTCCGGCTGGTATAATAATCAAGTGTGCATGAGACAGAATAGCAACAGAAAACAACCAAATCTAACAGAAGCAGAGACATGGAAATACAGAACAAACTGACAGTAACCAGAGGGCAGGGGAGAGGGGGGTAACGGGGGGAAAGAAGGGAAATAGCCAAATCAAGCAACAGGTATAAATGACCCATGGACAAGGACGACAGTGGGGGGGATTGCATGTGGGAGGGGAGGGTGGGTAGGGTAGGGGGAGGGTGGTGGTGGGGATAATGGAGACAACTGTAATTGCACAACAATAAAAAACAATGGGGACAACTGTAATTGAGCAACAAATAAAAATTAAAAAAAAGAAAACAACCAAATTTAAAACACATATGTATGGGAGCCCTGCATACATGGGGAGTCAGAGATTCATTGGACATTCTGAGTTGGGGTGGGGTCATGCCCCTCGACTCTGAGTAGGTGTTCAGTACATAAAAATCTGTCCTGCCCTATAGGTGGGTAAAAAAGCTTATGACTAATAATATTTCATGGGCAAGGCCCCTAATTCAAATTCTTGGGAGCAGTTAAGGGTGAGAGGCAGATGTTTGTCCTGAGCTTTGGCTAAAATTGCCTTTAGCTCAAAACAATCTGCATGTCACAGAGGCCCACCTTGCTGTCATGAAAGCAGGCACCTACATCCAAGATGGCTGTACCCAGCAAAGCGACCATTCAGAGTGGAAGGGCAGATCAAGTGCTTCCCAGACAAGAAAAAGCTACAGTTCCCAGTATTTTGTTCCCAAACCTCCACATGAGTAAACACTTCCATATCACTTACTCTGGGCCCAGCACTGTTCTGAATGCTCACTTGGAAGTAGCCCATTCGTCCCTCTTGGGAGGCAGAGCGAGGCCTCAGCCCTTGAGTTCCGCTCAGAAGGATTCAGAGCCAAGAACTGAAAGTGCGAGATAAAGTTGATTCAAGAAGCAAAGCAAAACAACCAAACAGGCAGTTCAAAGAGCGGACCTATCAGGGCCTGTCCTGTCCTTGTGTGGCAGTTACAGGAGGCTTGTCTCTGGCCCCTCGTCCCTCCTCCAAATGGGTCTACTTCAGTGGTCCCCAACTGTTTTGGCACCAGGGACCAGTTTCGTGGAAAAACTGGAGCGGGGGCAGGAGGTGGAGCTCAGGCAGTAATGGGAGTGCAGCTTTGCTTGCTCACCTCCTGCTGTGCGGCCTAGTTCCTGACAGGCCTCGGACCCATACCCTGTCCACACCCCAGGGTTTGGGGGACTGCAGGTCTAAATCACACACGCCTAGGAATAGGAGAGGTCAGGCTGCCTAAATTGCACAACTAGGGATGTGCTCGTGGAGGGCAAGCCACGCTGGGAGCAAGGCACAAATGTGCTACATTTGTTTTTCCAGTTTGTCCATTATTGGGTGGATCTCCTTATGAGATCCAATATGAGGGTTACACAGGATGGTGAGGGGCCAGGCAAGTTCCTAGGCGAGTGGAATAGGGAAACGGAGGGCTGAACACAATGGCGGAGCAATGACAGCCAGGTGCAGAGGGTCCCCAGGGCGAAGGGCCCCCAGTGCCTGCCTGCCAGGGGGAAAACCTGGGAACACAAGGACCCCACCCCCAGGGTGACCTCTCCTGCCCTGGCCTTTCCCCCCACAGATGACGTCTGGGCCTTCAGCTCCAGGCCCCAAAGAGCAGCAAAACCAGGTTGGTGAACCAGGGCCAACTGCAGTGACTAAAGACCCCCTTCCCTGTGACTGTCCCATCAGAGGAGACCGTGACCCTGACAGGACACACCTGGGGAACCGATGAATGCTCTGCTGAGACCCTGTCTTGAGACCCTCTAAGATTCCTGCCTGACAGAGAGAGAAGAGCCTCAAGACTCAGGACCCAGCCCATCAGCTCCCCCTGTGGGGAGCAGCCCACACCATTTCCTTCCCTTATTGCCCCCCTACACCGGCCCCCACGGGCACACACATCCTCAGCTCTAAGGCAGTGGGCAGTGGCAGCTGGTCCCAGGCTGATCTCCTGAACCTGTCCCTCATGATGCAGAGATCTGATCCAAAACTGCGTAGCTGTTAAATAAACATGTTTTCCTTTCTCACCAAACATTTGCCTCCAGAATTTTGCCTAGAGGGTGGGCAGCAGAATGGTGACTCTGGTTGGACTCTGGTGGAGCCCAAGAGCGGGACTGTGTGGTTTGGAGCTATGAAACCCTGCCCCTTTATTTTTTAAAAAAAGATTTTATTTGTTTATTTTTAGAGAGAGGGCAGGGAAGGCGAGAAACATCAATGTGTGGTCTCCTCTTCCACACTACCTACTGGGGACCTGGCCCACAACCTGGGCATGGGCCCGGACTGGGAATCTAACAGGTAACCCTTTGGCTCACAGGCCGGCACTCAGTCCACTGAGCCACACCAGCCAGGGTTCCCATAATATTCTTAACCTCCCCCTGTCTATTTTGTACCTACCATTTAAGAGGATTCACAATTCTCTACACAGTTGTCACAGTATCTGTTTGGTTAGTCGGATTCCCCTAAACTCTGTCTCCTGTGGCCACCCTGTAACTGCCAGGGGGAATGCAGAAGACCTCATCAGAGTCGAACCACTTTATCAAGCCTCCTCTTTTTCACACTACACTCACGTATTTCATTTATCTGCTATGCATACTCCACTTGCTCCATAATAAATTCTGCCTCATTTGCATTTTGGGATTTTGGTTTGGTTTGGTATTTCTGACAGTTCTCTATTTGCTGAGAGTTACAGCTCCAGAATATTACCCACTGAATGAAAGAAGTCTCTCTCTCTTTCCATACATATATTTGTATTCTATATTTATATAGAGAGGCAAAAGTAGGTTTACATTCATTTGTATGAAAAATAATACAATAATAAATAATAATATGAGAAGAAACTATTTTGTGTACTCACATCTGTAAACCGTCTTTTCTCCACAGTGGGACAAAAGTCCATTTTCTTATCCCCTTCAAGCAAATTAAAAACAAACAAGTAAACAAAAAATCTATGTATGTCCCCATTCAGAGAAACGATTTTCAGAAAGGGAATGTTTTTCTAATTTAAGCCTTAATTTATTAATTCAGTACTCATGTATACTTACTACATGCAGGCCCTGTGAACTCCAGGACCCCTGGTTTTATAAGGCACATGTTAGAAACTTCAGGCACAGATGTGAGTAAAATATTGAAGGATCTTGCCTTAAAGCAACTATATTCCAGTGAGAAGAGACAGATAATAAGTAAGAGACCAACAAATTTAACATTTTTCAGGTGTTGCCCTGGCTGGTGTGGCTGGCCTGTGAACCAGAGTTTGATTCCCAGTCAGGGCGCATGTCTGGGTTGTGGGCCAGGTCCCCAGTAGGGGACGCGTGAAAGGAAACCACAGAGGGATGTTTTTCTCCTTCCTTTTCCCTCTCCCTAAAAATAAGTAAATAAAATCTTTTAAAAATATTTCAGGTGTTATAAGTGCTATGCAGAAGACAAAGCAGAGCAAATTCCTTTCAAATAAGGAAACATTATAGAGGCAAACAGTTTCATTTACTTATGGCAGAAGAGAGAAGAGTACGTGGGCAGTTCTCAAATATCTTCTTAGAGAACACGAGCGCATGACTCTTTGGGCTGGGAAGCTGTAGGTTGAGATATGAGAGACAGGTGAGGTTCTTAAGACAAATGCAGATGGGATGGAGTGAAGGGAAAATGTTGTATGAGTCGTAAGATGTCCTGTGATAGGTTTGTTCAGTGACTGTGTAGCTGTTCTAATCCCCCACCCCTTTGGCCATCCTGGCCAGACCACGGCGTTAGCCACAAAAGCATTTGTACGCCACTCTTGTGGTCACTATTTGCAGAAACAGGCCAGCATTAGGTCACGTGATGAGCCATTGCATCATCTGCAGCGTGCACACTGCCAGGGACAACACGCAGCAAGACAAACAGGAAAGTGAGGGTCAAATGATCTATAATG